AGCCAGAGGCCTGCTCCCCAATGTTACAATAACACACGGGGAAAGGAAAGGAAAAGGGATATTCTACAGATCAGAACAAATGTTCTTTCTTAACTATTCAAAGGAAGGTTTGTACATGTATTTTTTTTCTTCACTGCACAACCAACTAGTTTTAGACACTAATAAATCAGGAGACCAAGGTAACTCTACCTGGTTATTCTCCAGCATATTTTACTTCTTTGAGAAACAAATTGTGTAATCTCCCAAAATAGCCAGGGTGACCTGTGGAGACTACAGTAATATTTGTCCCTTATACACACAGGAGACTAGAAGACTAAAAAAGAAAAAGTAAATATATTCCAAAATATATCCTCAAAGATATTAAGCACAAATCTGGATTTTAAAAGCATAGCTGCTCACAAATAAGAGCTATGTAATCCATTTGTCCCAGACATGAAGGATTTGGACGGGAGAGCTGAGATCTACAAGTGGGTTGATGTAGCGCTAGAAAAAAATGGAGTTTACAAGTCAGCAACTGGCAACTACATGAATGGGGAGAGAACCAAAATTGTGCTACTAACCAATGCTACAAACTTCAAGAAGCATTTCATTCAATTCTTTCAAATGCCTTTGCATATAAATCTCTTTTGAGGATTTCTCGTATGCAGATACTGCTCTGCTCCACACTGCTATCTGGAAGAAGACTTCATCTAATCAAAAGGCAGCAGCAGACTGAAATGACAAATCCTTAACATGGCTATTCGCTTCTCATTCGTGATCAAATCTGAATGAAACGGACCAAGATTCCCCTCAGTCACACATTGTATTTCTAACTTAAAAATTCAGCAAAACTAAAATCGGCTAGTTTTGTAAGCAGCAAAGATAAAGTAACAAAGTTGTGTCTAACTGGAGGAGAAATATACATTCGTGAGAACACGTACAATTAGTGCAACACAGCTACTCTGAAATTAAAGAGAAAAAACAAACAGGATTGATCAATGTAGCAGACATGCAGAGTCTGCTAAGTTATGTTAAAACCATGTTGCTGGTGATTAAATATGTCTACAGAAGATATATTACTATTTTGAATATATTTTCAAGCAGACCAAAAATACCTCATCTATTGGTTACTGGTGTGTTATTTTTTTAACTATTTAAATATTGGGGGGGTTCTCCCCCCTCTATTTTATAAAAATTGCACTTATTTTCTATTAACCCCAAAAAACGTTAAACTTCAATTCTGTTTCAATATATATTCACATTAAGTTTCTGAACCTTCTTGATCAAAGCTTGCAGGAGTAAGCATGGCATTCCTTGCCTTCAGAGTTCCTTTGCACAGCAAATGGCGCCGCTGGGAGGCTCCCACTCTTCTAGCTCTGTGCTTAAGTCACTGCTTTTCTGTAGTGCAAGGATTATTTATTTTTATTTTTATTTTAAGAAAACCTGAGCTCTAAATGTCTTTAAAAGGACCTGGAATCGATTCTGGCCCAACATGACCCAAAACAGCTCAGTCCTGCAAGGAACTCCATCATGTCCCCTTTTCACACAGCTCTTTCTGAGAGACTATGGCTCTGGCCTGAGGTGTATGAGGTGTCAAACCATCCTCTTCGAGTCTCAGTCTTTGTCGGACAGACTTTCCTCCTGGTAAATTTCTGGCTGCTCCTCCTTCTATCCCTTCGGCACCACTGCCTCCTGCAGGGATTCAAAGGGCTCCTCCTACCAATAAAAAAGTCTCTCTGCAGCAAGCATGACTTCTCAAATACTGATGATCAACCTCCTCTTGTAAAGTCTTCTCCGGCTCATAAAATGTCATCATAATCCAACAGTTTGGAGTGCTGGCGGGTCTTCCAGAGGCGGTAAAGGCGGAAGTCAAAGTAAGTCTCAATCATTTGCTTACCTAGGATAAGAATGAAGACAAAGGGCAGGGGTTACCACAGCCGTGCAATGGGCAGAGCAGAGACCAAACAGACTGTAGCATAGCAGCCGACAAAATCAATCCCAACCATTTCATGTAAACACCTCCTCCTCTTCCTGCTGGAAGAGTTCATCTGCATCTTTCGCAGAAGGACACTGCTAACAGTTAGCACTTGTCCAGGATGTCCCTCGTCCTGTCTGAAAATGCCCAGGAAGGTAATGATCCGATTATTTATCATCAAAACTGGAGCTGCCTCAAAGAGCTGCAATATGGGCTTCTCTTCCTACAAGAGCTGGGAGGGGAAACAGAGCTCTGTCTCTGTGTCCCATTCAGTTCGGCTCTCTACACAGACTGCTGGCCAAGGTGACCACTAGTGGCTGATGAGCAGGGAACCTGGTTTTCTCCGATTTAAAAAAAAATCCCTAATTTTCAGTTTAAAAAGGTAACCCCAAATCCACATTTTTTCTGTAATTAAAATGAAATGCCACTAATACATACATGCAGAAAGACAGACAGACAGACGGTGGTGTTTCATTTTAATCATGGAAAAAATGCAGATTTGGGGTTACTTTTTTTAAACCGAAAATTAGGGATTTTTTTTAAATCAGAGAAAACCAGGTTCCCTGCTGATGAGGGCACAGCATAACTCACTGTAGCTCTACAACCCTACCTGCGAGAGATCCCGTAGCTGGGTCTCACCACAAACCCAACGAGAATTTGAGAACCAAAACCAGGTAAGGGGAGGGAGGGGAATCTGGGGGCTGGTAACACAGACCTTTCTCCTCACCTGGAAAGTACTGTAAAATGGATTTTCTTCAGGTTTATGTTAGCTCTAGTTTCCCTAGGTTACAGGGAATTTGTAAGGCAAAAGGCTATGCTAACTGACCACATCTGTTTTCCATAGTGAAGAGTTTGATCTGGCTTTTTGTGTGAACAGCTTTTGTATCTCTAACTAAACTACTTCACCGGACAGCAACTTCACAGAAACCCTCACAGGGCCTGAGGCTGGGGCTGGCCAATGCAGCCGCACAAAAGCAAAAAAAATCCAACAAATCACAGAATAAACAATCCTAGACTATAAAAGGCAGAAGGCAGGGAAGGGATTTTCTCTTTCAAAGCTGATTAAGATCAGTTTGAGATGACTCTGTGATGGGTAGCAAGGGATTAGAGTGGTTACATTGTTCATGTATTCCAGATTTATCATGATGGGGAAATGATAATACAGCCTCCACCCCCATTTCCCCATGGAGCCAAGCATCAGTCTGCTAGACACCACTCACATAACGTATTCTTCACAGAACTCACAGTCGTTCCTGCCAGGCTGTGTACAAAATTGACATTTAACGACTTGCCTGCATGAATAGCTGCTTCGCCTGCACAGTTGCGTGGCTTCACTGTGGATCCTGGGCATGCACTTTGAAGCGTGATGGCCCACCCTACGCAGGAGGTGCATAGTGCTTCCTACAAAATGCTACAGCCCCTCCCTGCGAGGGTGTTCCATTAAAATCAGTGGGAGTAAAAGATGTCCTCAAAAATGGTCAGGGGGAAGTAAGCACTTTGCTGAGTCAGCCTTATTGCTAGGGATCTACCCACATTGAAGAGCCAGGCAGCCAATTTCTTGGACAGATCATGACGCTGTTTTCGCGGGCTTATCATGGTGAGGCCCCCCATGCCTTTGATTAGCTAAGGGGTCCCAGTGGCCCTGCCCCTTGCTGCTGATTGGTTGAGAGTATTGTTGGTCATACAGTGCCACCCCTCACTGCTGATTGGCGAAGAGGGCTGTCTGTCGTGTGCCCCTGGGGAGCCAGCATTTTATCTTTAGTAAGTATTTCTTTCTGGATTTCATGGACATTGCCCAATTTCATAGACAATGTCTGATCTTGCGACTTCTGCGAAATCTGTGAAACTGCAAATTGGGTAAGTCCCTACTTATTGCCCTTAACGCTCCTTGAAGGTGACGCTGAGAACCTTCAAGGCTGAGATGCTCTAATTAACTAACAGACACTATAAACTATGCAGGCTTCCTTTACTAGAAGCTGGGCCTGAGTCATTTTATGGGTTCAACCTCTGTGCCCAATCTATTCCATGTCTCTACCAGAGCTATATGAAAAGGACTATGGGAACTAGACTCTAGTCCCAAAGCTGCCTGGTCCAGCAGTAAAATGCCCAGAGTATATATAGAGTAACGCTGCACAAGGTCATCCCAGGAGAACAAAGATTCCAAATGGAGCAGATAGATCAAAATCACAACGCCCGTGTCACATATGACGGAAAGGGAAAGGGAAAGCACCTGCAGCTTCTAAACTCTCTCAAAATACAGGAAAAGGCATCTATACAGAGATGAGCTATATCCAAGTCCTTGGTTAACAAAGGAAGCCAGTATGGCATTAGTGCTGACTTCAGTATCCTCTGGAGGATAAATGACCACAAACATCCTTAAGGACCACATTCCACTCCCAGCTGCACATGAATTTCTCTCCTACTGACTCCAGCATGCTCCAGTAACATAATGCATCTCCTAAACTATAACCACAGGGGGGTCAGTATTAGTTATGGAGTATTTTTGTTGATCTGCCATTGGCATTAGCTCTGGAGAAGGCTACCTAGCTGCAAACATAACAACAGGTATAGTTAAAAGGAAAAAAAAGCAAGGATGGTAGAAGAATAAGACAGATAAAACCAACAGACAAACAAACAATGAGGTTATTAAAACCAAAAGAAAGACCAAATGACTTCTTTTTTGTGGTGGGGCATAAACAATTTCACTGGTGCTTTGGGAAGGTGATCCTTTCACGAGGCAGTTATGCTTAAGGAACACATACACACACTTACCCACACACTCACCCACTAGCATTTATGGCAAAAGAAATTACCTTGAGCTGAGAGTTCAAGTGGAGACTCAAAGGCAACCCTATAAGGATTCATTAGATTTTTCAGATTCTGAAATAGCTGAAATGAAAAAGATATTAAAACTTCGGAGCTGAACCCAAAGAGATGCTTAAAATTAAATGACTTGCTAGGAGGGCAAAAGAAAGCAGAAGAGAGAACCAAGACTCTTTAAAACAGCAAGACTCTGTCCCTTACTTTAGCCTGCATTGGACCTTAGGAGCTGTGCACATACTGCTCTCTCTGGGATGCACAACATCTACAGAGCAGGTAAATCATAGTTTCATAGTTTTAGGGTCGGAAGGGACCTGATAGATCTTCTAGCCCGCCCCCCCGCCAGGGCGGGAGAACAACAAAAGAACCCTAAACAAAAAAACGGGACTCAAATGAGTCCAGCCAGGTAGGTATCCAGCCTCTTCTTAAAGATCCCCAGGGTAGGGGCCAGCACCACCTCCCTTGGAAGTTGGTTCCAGTTCCTAGCCGCCCTAACTGTGAAGCAGTTTTTTCGGATGTCCAATCTGTACCTCCTCTCCATCAACTTGTGCCCATTACTCCTTGTTATGCCAGCGGGGGCTAGGGGAAACAGCGTCTCCCCCAAACCCTTCTGGTTCCCCCTAGTGAGTTTATAGACGGTCACCAGGTCCCCCCTCAGCCTTCTCTTGTGGAGGCTGAATAGGTTCAGGTCCCGCAGTCTCTCACTGTAGGGTCTGCCCTGTTGTCCCCGGATCATGCGGGTGGCCCTCCTCTGGACCCTCTCCATGTTGTCCGCATCCCTCCTGAAATGGGGCGCACAGAACTGGACACAATACTCCAGCTGCGGCCTGACCAGCGTCGCATAGAGGGGGAGGATCACCTCCCTGGCTCTACTCGAGATGCACCTGTGGATGCACGACAAGGTCCGGTTAGCCCTGCCAACCATGACCTCGCATTGTCGGCCCATGTTCATCTTGGAGTCAATAATGACACCAAGATCCCTTTCCGCCTCCGTGCTCTCAAGTAGGGAGTTCCCCATCGTATAAGTGTGCTGCTGGTTCCTACTACCCAAGTGCAGCACCCTGCACTTGTCCGTATTGAAACGCATCCTGTTCCTGTTTGCCCACCCCTGTAACCTATCCAGATCCTTCTGCAATCTCTCTCTCCCTGCTAGCGTGCTCACCTCCCCCCAAATTTTGGTGTCATCAGCAAATTTAAACAGGTTGCTTTCCACCCCAACATCAAGATCGCTGATGAAGAAATTGAACAGCGCAGGCCCCAGGACTGAGCCCTGGGGGACTCCACTACCCACCTCCCCCCAAGTCAAGTATGATCCATCCACCACCACCCTCTGAGTGCGACCCTTCAGCCAATCTGCAATCCATCTGACTGCATAGGCATCTATGCCGCAGTCGCCCAGTTTATTAATTAGGATGGGGTGAGAGACGGTGTCAAAGGCCTTGCTGAAGTCCAGAAAGACTACATCCACCGCGACACCTGCGTCCATGGCCTTTGTGACCTGATCATAAAAGGCAATCAGGTTGTTCTGACATGATCTCCCCCTAATAAATCCATGCTGATTGCCCCTGAGCATCATTTCTGATGCCGGCCCATCACAAATGTGCTCCTTGATGATCTTCTCAAAGAGTTTCCCCAGGATTGAGGTGAGACTGACGGGCCTAAATCCTTAGAGAAGTGGGACTGTAAAGAGAGCACCCCAGCCCTTACTGTGAGAGGAGAAGGCATTCAACCAAGGTGCTGGGCTCTGTGACACTGCAGTAGATTCATCCACTGAGAGCCCCCAACGGTGCCCCAGGGAGCCCTTACCTTCTCCCCATTGGGGTTTCCCAGAACGTAGCAGCCCATGATGTGAATGAGATTTGGCTCAGGGTTGATTTTGCTCATCAGTCGGCTTAGCTTCTTCCAGAAGCTAGAAGAAATATAAGGAAACAAAATACCATATTTATTCAACTATAAGACAACCCTGATTATAAGGTGACCACCCAATAATTAGATTCTATATATGGAAAATTTATAAATATATTATAATTTTACAGGTACAGAACGTAATTATTGGTTTGTCTTGAACTGGTCCTCTTTCCACTGCTACAGCAGGGAAAATAAATCTGGGAGATCAAATAGCCTCTTTGCTTCCCCCCAACTTTTTCCCTTGGTAACCGCTTCCCCTTTTCCTTGCTGTCAGACCCTGCTCTCTCTGAGCATGTGAAAGTGAGGAGCAAATTTGAAGACAATGACCTTGAAATTAAACATGACTGTAGCAATTTGCATGTAGCACCCACAGACTTAGTTCATCCAGAACTGATGCATGTCATCTTTATTCAAGTTCCTGCAAGTTTTAGCACAAGTGTGTGTGTGTGTGTGTATATATATATATATATTTCATGTCTCGGGCCAAATTAGACAAATCAGTTCCAAATTCTATCCACTAAGCAGAGCTCAGTCATTCAAGTCTTTGCAGTGCTACCGCTGGCAAATATCCTATCTCCCATACCCTTCAGCCTGGGGCTTCAGATATTCTCAAAATCATGGCAGGCATCCATTAGTTCAAAGCCAAAAGGTTCGTGATTTAACACACAGTTCACTGGGCTGGGCTTCATTAGAGTCAACAGCATTTCAAGCTATGGTAAACCATGACATGCATACAGTTCACCCCAAATCCCTCTGTTATGCCCTCTCTCAGACTGGCACATACGATTAGTGTGGGGTGGCCCTCTCCTTGTATGCGTCTATACTCCAGATACACCCCACAAAGGTATCTGGAGCATATACACATACTGAGCACCGCTGAGCTGTGGGGTCACCACACAGGGTGTGGCCACACTAAACATATGTGCCAGGCTGAGAGGGGAGGCGACAGAGAGCAATGGTAGAGCCACAGACTTGAATGACTGAGCTCTGATCAGTTGAAATTTGGAACTTGATTATTGCGCTTTGCCTAACAATCTGAAACCAATATGTCCCTTGAAATGAAATATTAAAAAAATGTATTTTTATAGTGATGCTCAGTTTTAGCTGCATTTACTCAACTTTATAGTTGGTTTCCATTGCTGAACACATGGTGCATTTGGCAGCAGTTTAATGATAGGCAATGTATTTAGTGAAATTTCCTTGTACGCGATTATAAGACAAGGGTCTTTTTTCCTCGTGCTAATTAAAAAAAACACCTCGTCTTAGAATCAAGTAAATCTGGTAAGCATTTTCATCCATCTCCTTTGTGCATGATCATCTAAATACACGTGTGCACAGTGCCCAGAAACTAGCCCAGCCCTAGGGAGGCCAAGGTAGGGCCAACCCTGCAAGGTACCCAACCCCTTCACCTCCTAAGCTATTTTGTAAGATTTCTCACAAGAAACCCTATATGCCTGTGCTGCCCCCCATCCATAAATTGGGTGTCACTTGCCTGCAGTGGAAGAGAGCACCTGCATACACTTGCAGTCTATTGCTCTGGATCAGCTGCAGTGCAGAGTTCCCAGAGCAAAGCTTGTGGAATTAGTCACTTGTGGCAAGAATTGGCATTTTCCCCCAGAAAACTTCTACACCCAGAATCTCTGCCTCCATTACACAGGACAATGCAGCCATGCTCATTGTTCCTCAAGACTGATTACAAGTCTTTTTCATTTCATTTTTTGTCTGAAGTTAGTTTATTTTAATTATTTCCCCATTCATCCATTTCCTTCAATCTCCCCCCTCCCAACATAGATTCTGCATAGCTCACGTTAGACCCATGAGTTTTGGAGAGTGAGGCTATACAAACTTCTTTGCAAGGCTTCACCCAAGAACTTCAGATAAAGCCATAAAAAGTGACAGTGACTGGTTCCTTGACAACCTCATTGTTTAGGTACAAGGCTGTTTACTGAGATTTTGGTGGTTCAAGTGTAGTAATTAAGGGCCCAGGCAAACACTACCAACAGGCAGGACTTAAGCTGAGCCAGCACCAACTCCCTTGGTATTACCATGCAAACAGATCAGAGACACTTCAACACAAGCATGGAAAGTCATAAAGCAACTCACAGGATCATATCTTCCTCCTTCTCCACTTTGGCAAAGGTGGCAACTTTGTTTTTCAACAAGTATAAGTGGCCAGGACCTCCCTGCAAGGATAAAGGTAGACATAGCAAACTACCCTGATCCCAGAAAATTGAACAAGCCGTGTGTGTGTATGTGTGTGTGTGTATGTGTGTGTGTGTGCATCTCACTCTCATATCTAGAGTTCTATACAACTGTTTTGAGATGCCCCTTGGGAGGGCAGAGCAGATACAATGGGCTCTCCATTCTGCAGCTGACACAAAGTCCTGCAGCAGGTTGACCTTGCCCCAGACAAAGGAATGAACAATGGGGCTCTCCAAAGAGGGGGGGAAAAGAGCTAGAATCATAGAAAATTAGGGTTGGAAGGGATCTCAGGAGGTCATCTTGTCCAACCCCCTGCTCAGAGCAGGACCATCCCCAACTAGATCATCCCAGCAAAAGCTTTGTCTAGCCGGGTCTTAAAAACCTCCAAGCATAAAGATTCCATCACCTCTCTAGGTAACCTCTTCCAGTGTTTTACTATCCTCCTACTGAGAAAATTCTTCCTAATATCTAACCTAAACTTCCCTTGCTGCAACTTGAGACCATTGCTCCTTGTTCTGTCATCTGCCAACACTAAGAATAGTCTAGCTCCATCTTCTTTCAAACCTCCCTTCAGGTAGTTGAAGGCTGCTATTAAATCCTCTCTCAGTCTTCTCTTCACTAGACTAACTAAGCCCTGTTCACTCAGCCTCTCCTCATAAGTCATGTCCGCCAGCCCCGAACCATTTTTGTTGTCCTCCGCTGGACTCTCTCCAATTTATCCACAACTTTTTGGTAGTGTGGGGCCCAGATGTGGCCTCATCAGTGCTGAATAGAGGGGAATAATCACTTCCCTGGACCAGCTGGCAACACACCTACCAATGCAGCCAAGTATACCATTAGCCTTCCTTGCAACAAGGGCACACTGCTAGCAAATGTTCAGCTTATTGTCCACTGTAACCCCCAGGTCCTTTTCTGCAGAGCTGCTGCCCAGTCAGTCAGCCCCCAGCCTGCACTGGTGCATGGGATTGTTTTGTCTGAAGTGCAGGGCTCTCCACTTGTCTTTGTTGAACCTCATAAAATTCCTTGTGGCCCAATCCTCCAATTTGTCTGAGTCACTCTGAATTCTAACCTGACCCTCCCACGTATCTACTACCCCCTCCAACTCAGTGTCATCTGCAAACTTGCCGAGGGTGCGCTCTATGCCATCTTCCAGGTCATTGATGAAGACACTGAACAAAACTGGCCCCAGGACCAACCCCTGGGGCACTCCATTTGATACGAGCTGCCAACTAGACACTGAACCATTGGTTACTACCCTCTAATTACTAGGAGTTGACCAGGAGTCTCTGGAAGTAACCCACTGGTTAGTAGTTTGAAAATACATTGGTCAGGACTCATGATTTGGATTATAGCTGTTTCCAGATAACAAATAATAAACATTAACACCCTATACTCTCCATGCCATTTTTGCTCTGTCCTTAGTCAGGAATTATTGCTACTGATTTGAATGGCAACTTTCTCAAGTAACAGCTGAGGCATGGGTAACAGCAGAGTAATTCAGGTATCTCACTGAGGAGCCAGAAGTGCAAGTTTGAGTCTTGTTCTGGATTTGTGTTCAAGGAGCCCCCAGCTGACTCAGCCAAAATGAGTGCATGGCTAACCAGTCTGGAGAGTTAAAGGCAACTGAACATAGTGGAAAGCTAGCTGCCTCACTCTGTTGTATGCTTTACCATGCCAGCCTGAAGGGCCGCTGAGGACAGACCTTTGACCAACAGCTGAATAAAACGTGAAAAAAACAGCTTCAGGGTATTATATATAATGTGCCCTTCTCTTCCATGTGCACCACCAGAGGGACTTCTCCCTGAGAGGGGGACCAGGTCCCACTCGCACACAGCTGGAGGTGGAACAATGTCTCAACCTACGCTTTGCTTTTTCCTCCCCCTCCTTCCCCAAGGCATGAAGCACCCTTGGGAAACAGCCCTTGTGCTCCAGAGTATGGGGTCTACAATCCTACTCAGCTCTTACAGAAGCCACATGGAAAGGGGAAGGCTTCCTTATAGCTTCCCACTCCTAACTGAGTACCTGAATGAAGGCTAAGAGGAATCTCACCCTTTATCTGTCCATTTAAACGAGTCATTCCATAACTGCTTATCAAGGCTTCCTCTAATGCCCTCTGGAGCATCTGCATCTGGCCATGCCCAGAACCACCCTATTGGGCTAGATGGACCCCTGCCTGATTCAGTATTTCTCTGTTCCTGTATGAAAGCAAACTGCAGGAAGCTTTATGAAAACAATAAATAACTATCAGACTCTAAATACTTGCTCCTTTTTCTGTGAGCTTCCTCAGGAGGCCTTCTCGGAGGTCAGCTTGCAAGGGCTTTCTTGAAAGAAGATGAAAAGCTTCCAATGCCTAAGCTTTTGCTGCGCTAAGACAAATTTTCTCTGCTGCCATCATAGTGAGCTGAGGACATTCGCTGGTCGATGGATGTGAAATGGGAATTGGATAGATGTGATTACTTTAATAAAACCTGGTGCAGACTGGCTTTAGAATATTGTTTTCTGTAGTTAATTTGTCCCTGTAGAAAACACTGTTTTTTAACAAAGTGCCAAGGGCATCAATGCTTTCATGTACCTGACAGAAAATCAGCATCTTCCAGATTTTGCAGCCCTTCCGATAAATGTTCAGCTTCTTCTCTATTTCCTCTGTAGAAAAGTAGGAACAGTACCAGTGAGTGACCCAAATAGAAAATGGAAAAGATACACAAGATACAGTCATGAACACTCACTTGTGTCTACACACTGTGGCTCCTCTACAGAAGATATATTCACTAGCATTCACCTGCATCTATATAGTAAGGCATCATGACCTGAATCTGAGTGGTGCTAAGGACCTCCATTTCAGGCTGATTTTGAATCAGCCCCATGTTTTGTAGCCTTGCAAATCAGAAAGCCAGCGCAGGATTTACAAAGCAGGAAGAGCAGAATGGAACCTCGTATAATGAGCCTGAGTCATTAGAAGCACCGCGCCAGGACTCGGGCGACTTGGGCCCTATTCCCAATTTTGTCAGTGGCCTACAAGATGACTTCCCTGTACCTCAGCTTCTCCATCTATAAAAGAGGGATAATGATACTACACTCCTCTGTAAAGCAGTCTGAGCTCTACTGATGGAAAGTGCTATGTGAAGAAGAGGGCGAAAAAAACCCCAAAGCATACCAAGAATGTCTTCAAAGGTGGCGTGTTCATGATCCTAGAAATGAACAAGAAGGACATTTCAACCACATTTTAATTACTTGTCATCTCTTTTCATGCAACACTGAGCAGTATTTCACTAAGGGGTAAACAAATAAGGTGGAGGTCAATTAGACAAATTGGGTGGCCTCACTCAACATGACAGAAATGCCTGCCAAGCCCAGGGACCTAGGCAGAGCGCCCTCAAAACCAGTTACAGTTTGTAGCATGGTGAGCCCCAGCCTCTATTTCATCAGCCACCTCATATCTCCAAGCAGACATGTAGCCAGGGTCCTATACAGCTAAATAATGTTACATACAACATAACCCCATAAATCCAGCATGCTTGGGACCAAGCACCTGACGGAAATTTGAAAATTCTGGATTTCTGAAACCAGAGCGGCGGCCGGTCGTGGAGCAGCAACACAGAGAGGTGGAAGGCAGAGGCAGCCACCACGTGCAAGCTTCCCCCTCTGCTGCGGGACCGGCTGCTGCTACTCCCTGATGTAGTGTATTTTTAAAAAGTGCCGGATTTTTGAGAATTCTGGATTTTTTATATCTGGATTTATGAGGTTATGCTGTATTATAAACACCCTTTAACCAAAAAAAGGAGGAGTGGGGCCATGTTACAATAAGGCCCCAGACTTGATTGAGGCTCTCGTGAACTACCCTGGTAAAGAGGGGCAGCGGAACTCAGCTTTCACTGCAAATGCTCCGGGAGTAGAAACCTTGAGTTCGCACAGCAACAAATTCACTTGCAAAGCTAAAGCTCTGGCTACATAAACAAATTACCACCAGCTGAGCTCCGGTGTGAATTAACAACACACCTGCTATTCCACTGACTTACTGAGGAGCAAGCTACTTCACATATTTTGTGGGGCACCTGTGTGTGCATAAGTACTTACCACAGAGTATCTGATGCACTGTAAATTTACACCTTATCTCACCTCTCAGTAATTTGATTGTGTAGCCATGCCCCATGTGAATATAAACAGAAGATAGTAAGAGTGGCACACAGCACACAGCCAGGGCTCCAGAACAATATTTACTGAGATGGAGCTCCTGTGGTTTAACATTTGTGTATACAGATGAACCCATACTTCATAAATTACAAGACTTTCCAATTCTGGGCTCCCCACGGGGCTCTGCCAATGAGTCTGACTTAATGCTGGGTCTCTCTTGAGCAGCTATTTGTCTTCTGTGCCAAATGGTGCGCTGGTTTTTCTGAGACATTATAAAGCCCACTAGGCACCAGGATTGAATCACAACATTCATTTTCACTTGTGAGCCACCCTAGTGTTTTGATACCTGAACAGCATGTAGAGAGCAGAAATACTCACATAGAGAATAGGGATGATGGAGGGGTCATCCCTGCGGATGATTGTCGGGATGTACTCGGCTTTCGGGACTTTGGAAGAAATGAGCTGAGGAGGAAATAAGAAGTGCAAATGGGTCATAAGGTGAAACAGGAGCAGAGGCACAAAGGAACCATAAGCAGGCACTTCATTCTGGGAAGTGGGCTGTCTACATCCGTATTACGTACGATGTCTCCTTGGTCACCCAAAACAAACATTTCTTTGGGGATTAGAAATAACCTGTTTAAAGAGGCTATATTTCTACCCTTTTCTTCCTCAGGCATGGAAACCAATTGGGAGGTGGTAGAAAATAGAGGCAGAGTTTAAGGAACCCAAGCACTTTGTGCAGTAAAGTCAGGGGTGCAGCACAAGCCTTTGTTTATAGGCCAGGTCCTGTCATGGCATTAATTAGGCCCCCAAGGCAAGCTGAATAATGGGTAATAGGGGAAAGCTAAGACCCCCATCTCCACCTCTATTCACACTCGCGCACAGCTGCTTGTCAGTAAATCTAATGATCCAGTGAACAGAAAGATTCTGGTCATTCTCCTGTGAGGCCCATTCTGCTCCTGCTGTGCCTCTTTCTAGTCAGCTTCAGCAGCTGCACGTCACCAAACCTCCCCGCTCCCAACCTGCTCTTCTGCATCCCTGCTATATCAAGGGAGCTGAGTGTGTTAAAGCTGAGCAAGCCAAGCATGGGCAACAATAGAGGGAGCAAGTCAGCTGCACCTGGCAAATGTTTACCAAGTGCCTGGAGCACAGCTGAAGCATCAGCCCAGTCACCAAGCTGAGCGGGGGCACTGGTGGGACTCACCAGCAGAGTGGGAGAACACAGTTAATTTCCTGCCTGTCACGGGCCATTTGTGGCATCAGCAGGCATGAATGTGAAGGGACAAAATGTCAGTATGATCTTTGCCGCTACTGCGTTTGTAATAAAATGAATCCTCCTGTTGTCAGCCAAAGCGCGTCTCACTGCATCACGGCTCTGCTAGCACAGCTCCATTCTCTCCTCATTTACACCATGATTTCAAGTAAGAGGAAGATCAGGCTCCACTGATCTGTCTCCTCGACAAAATGCTGCTGACATGATAAACTGTAACTGCAGTTATAAAATAGAAAAGCAGGCTGCTTCACCTCCAACGCCACATGCAGGGGGAAAATCTACCTGCATTGCTGTGGGGATGCTACGGAAAGAATACAGGGAAGGAATATAAAGAAAGGGCAACCTCCATTAGCCTCCACAGTCCATATCTCAGCAATCTGAAGACAGTACCCAAGCCAGGACCAGTCCAGATGAGGCACTGGTCATGGCTTAGCAATCTTACTGCCCCAGAAGCCACCTCTGTTCAACTGTCGAGCTCACAATTTGCATTCTGTGTATGCATGGTCTCGATGGTTGCATGGTCAATGGGAGTTTGCCTGAGTGGGTACATCAGGATTTATAAAGATTATACAGGGGGCTAACTAGAGACAATAGGAAAAAAGGCTGAAAGGGTCTGGGCTACAAAAACAGTTTAAAGAGCATAACGGACCTTATCAAGCTGTGTGCTTATCATTTCCCAGGGACTCCAGGGCAAACACACTCAGTTTACAAGTAAAATGATGGAAAGGAGGGATTCCTAATGGCCAGCCTTGCACAGTTTCCCTAGGATCTCACAGTCAAGCTTGGCTATCTCCTTTTTATATATCTTTATAATCCAGGTCCTGGAGTCCAAGTGATACTTCCCTTGGCCTCTGAAGGCTTGTCTCTACACATCAATGGCAGGCCCTGGGGAGGATGGTTCTGAGCTCACCCCATCCACCCAAGTCTGCTGATAACCTCCAGAGCTGGAAGTTAAGCCACAAGGTTGCTTTGAATTTCTCCCCAGTATCCCCTCTTGAGACCTCAATCTCTGGCAGGTCCAAAAGTAAGTGCTGGGAACAAATCTGGAGCAGGTGGACTGGTGAACCTCTGGGTCTGGACTGTACCACGAGGCTCGGGTGGGTGGGTGAGCTCTCCTCCCCCGGATGCAGCACTGATGCAGTAGAAGGCCACAGTGACCCTGCCTGTGCTCTGAGGACGTGCGGGGGTGACTGAGGGGTCTACTCTTCACCTGTTTGTGTCCTCAGAGCAGCAACGGTGGAAAAAAAGATGAGTTAGTCACAGAACAGGTAAAGATGTGTGGTGGGGAGGTAGACTTGAGGGTGGAGGGGAAGAGCCCTTACCATTATTTTTGGTGGAACAAAGTCCTCTCCATCACATGCCGCAGCTTCAAGCTCCTTCTCTGCTTCCCAGTTCAAGTCAAATTCATCCTCCAGAGCACAGCAGGAGTCCTGGAGATCATGGCCTGCCAGGAGACAGCATTAGAGGAGCGTTACAATGGACACCAAGCCACCGGGCTCCTTGCTTTCTCCAGCTCTGGAGAGGGTGACTAAGTTGTTAACTGGGTCAAGTGCTATTAGACATTCAGCCTTCACCCACAAATCAAGCCAAAAGGGTCACCAGTGGTTCCAGAGCTTCACACCTGACCTTCAAAGCTGACTGATGTTTAAGCAGACAGATAATCTAGGGAAGAACAATTATGCACACAGCCACCTTGTTTCAAAGTGTGATGGTAGCACTTTCCAGTTATTTAGTCACTCCTGAGTACTCAGCATTAAACATCACTCTCAGATCCACAGAGAACAGCCTGTCATGGAAGAGATGATGGGGTCTGAAATGGGTGAGCTGCAGGGGGTTGTGGGGAATGTGGCTCACTAGGATTAGAATTTATTGGCAGGTGAAATGAAGGCACAGGACTATTAGGACCTGCTAACCTGTTATGTCCCATCCCTTTACAGCCATTCAGAAGACAAACCCAGAGAACTCTGGCCTCACAGAAAGAACCGGTGCTGCACCAGAAGCGATGTGGCGTGAGGACTGGTACACAAAGCACTGCAGCTCAACAATGTTTGGCCAGGATTTGCTACCTTGCCTGATTGATGCTTCATGGAGAAAAATGAACTTCAAAATAACTGAGCAAGAGGAGCTAGCCATGGAATGAAGGGTTTCCTGAAGTCAGCGATTCGTGTATGAGAACTAAGCAAGACAAGCCCCATTCTGTGCACTTCGAGAATCCAGGGTCAGTGGTCAGTGCTGGATCTCATGCTAGGCACAGACAAGAACACACACTATTTATGTGCATCTTCCTATTAGTCTCTAGGTTATCTAAGGGCAGGGGAGAAATTTAGGCTGTCATGGAACAATCGGGTCATGTTTTGGACCTTCCTTCTCCCCCACTCACAATACTGTGCCCATTAGGCTTATAAAGACTTGATTCTTGGCTTATTTACGGGGTGTTAGGCTGACCTTTTCAGTTTAATTAATTTAAAGCATAATCCAGCCCTCACTGGAGCCTGGGAAACGTTGATGATAGCTCCTGGGCCCTTGTATAACAGTGCACAATGAAGAGCCCCAGCATGACCCTACTGTGATTGATGTACCCCTTGAAGTCCTGACAGACCGTGTGTGTTAAGTCAGTGCAGTGCACTTAGTTCCATGGGATAAAAGAAGGGGTGACAAGTCTATAGAGGCATATGGAAGCTATTTTGCTGGGCAATCATTCTGCAGCTACAGGGTAACACAAGGTCAGAATGCATGTGCATGTATGATGTGTTATCTGCTTAGCTCTGGGAAAGCTAAAGGGAGACAGAAGACACTGACAAGTCACACCAATGAGATTCCAATCAATGCCTCAGCGGGCAGCTTTGGCCATGGAAGGAAGCTCAAAAGACTCAAAACTCACTTTCTCGAGAATCATGGAAGGAATCAGCTTTGACAGGAGTCGGGTCGCTCCAGGACCTGCTGAAGCTTCTCTCACGCCGTTCAGCAAATGCTAGGATAAAACCAAACCAGGATATTAACAGATTCTAAAGTCACTGTCACTGCCACTGTCAGCAACACAACACACCCAGTAGGTTCCCATCAAAGCTAAATATTGCTGAAACTCCCTCACATAGGTGGTCTTCCACTTGACAAGCATGAGTCTGCCCCACATGATAAAAAAAGGTACATCTTCTACCTCGCTGCCAGCAGTGGTGCCCATTTTCAGGCACAACTGCTATGTTGGCAAGTGTTGGATCCTGCCAAGGAACCAGTAAGTGAGCTCTGGTTAGAGCTGGGGCTCCCAAGGCTTTTGGGTTCCCAGCTCTGGCAGAGAGCCTGGAAACTCTGGCAAGTCCAGATGCACTGCAGACCCCTCTGACATGGTCTTTCTCCCTGGGACAGTCCATCCGGTTTGCCCAAGCACTGCAGACCCAGAACTCCCAAGTTATCAACCCACTCGGCAGGTCTGCCACATAGCTTCAGTCCTTGCCAATACAGGTCCCTGGTCTCGGGGCTCGCTACCAGAAACACAGGAATCCAGGATTGTGGATTCCTGCCTTCAATTTGGTGCAAGCATAACAAGTTCAAAAGTTTTCCAACAAAACATTTCAGGCTCAACAAAATGGAATTTCCCAACAGTTCATTTAATCAAAAACTCATCAGCTCCAATCCTGGGTGGCTAACACTGCGTGGTGACGTGGAACTCACTGCCGCTACCGACTCAGGGAAACCTGCATTAACTCGAGTGGTCGAGTCAGGTCATTTCAGCAGTGGAGGACTAACGTTCTAACCCCAGTTCCTCCAAAAATGTATGGAGAGGTATCCAGGAACGAGGTCTTTTGTTGGATGCACAGGGATTCAGTGAGAAGCTGCACCAGGAGAATCTGAGAAACACCTTGCCCTTTGCTGCATTTTGTACCCAAATGTGGGGTGCACCCCCAATGGGTATGTGAAGGAGTACCTGAGCCAAACATCCACACAGAGGATGTGAAGGACTAGCTGGGAGTACGGATGAGAGGTACATACTAACTGCTCAGTTGTTTTGTAGCCTCACATTTCATTTGCAAATAAAAGCTGCTAGTTATAGGTATGAAGCAAACCCTGAAAACATGACCCAAGTGTTACCAGTACAGGGAGGTCTGCCTGAGCCTGCAGACAGCCTGGAACAACAGCCCCAAGAGGAGGTGAACCCTGTAAAGCTTGAGTGGAAACTTACTCAGATGTCAATGAGGGCACTTCAAAAGGCAACATGCCCAAAGGGTGTAAGAAAGGAGAGGCAGTATGAGAAATGCATGCTCAACTCAGAGCAGTGATTCATTCTGAGCAGACCTTAAATTATAAATGTCAGGGGGGTGTTAATGGTGTGAGCTTGACCTCTCAGACTTCCCAGCTGCTGGAGTCTGAAGGCAAGCAGCAATGGCAGAGCTAGACAGGAGGCAGGGAACAGGGTGAGAGATGTAGTGAAAGAGAATGAAAATAATGTGTAATTCCAGAGGGCGTCCCATCCTCATGCTCCATCAGCTTTCACCCTTTGACATGACTGACACCCAATATCCCATCAGCATTCCCCCTATGACAGGGGTGGGCAATATGCGGCCCGGGGGCCAGATGCGGCCCACCAGTCCATTCTACCCAGTCTGCGAGGCCCCTAAAAAATTTAGAAAATTAATATTTAACTGCCCTGGGCAAGCCTTGATGGCTTGCCAAAACTCAGTAAGTGGCCCTCTGCCCAAAATAATTGCCCGCCCCTGCCTAGGACCTCCACCTCACACAGCCAGGCCTTATGGGTTCTCACTTACTTTGTGCTTTCACCCGTCGGCTCCCGACCATGCGCAAATGCTTCCGAAAGTTCCTGGGGAAAAAAAGCAAAAGCAAACTTCTAATAAGAACTGTGTTAAGCAACAATCAGGCCCAAGAAGGAACAGCAAGTTGGTGGAGGGAGAATAGGAAGATCCTTTCCTTCCTTCCAGGCATTTATATCCAGAGGCACAAAGCTCAGCAAAACTCCCGGAGCAACTCTAGCTGCATTTGGTCAGCGGCAGGGGCAGGGGGTATTTGCCAACTAGGGGATGTGGCTGTGTTTGAACTTCTGGTGGGCTGCAGTGCCGGTGTCACTGTGCTCCTGTTTATCAACCATCCTCATTCATCTTCCTTTGATTTGTTGCTTCGACTCTACTTCCATCTTATGGCAGCCAATTAAGGGCAGCCAAAGAGACTACTGCCTGCGAAACTGGCTACTCATCCCGTCCTTATGGAGAGCAGATGCAACCACTCACTTCCTCCTCTGCCACAGACGTTGCCATACAAATGTGGAGATGCTTCTTGCCCCTGCCATGCTTGCACTACATGCCTGCACCGTGCTCATAGCTCTGCCCATTTCTAGAGCGTAGTCTTAGACACTGCTATTGTTCGTGTTTGCTGATGTTATTGACTTAGCAACTAGCAGGAAGGATCCTGTCCTGGTCCCTACAGGAAAAGGCTAGAAGAGATCACACCAGTCCTTTCCACTGTTGGCTTCCACTGGCCAGTGAAACAGGAATGCTCCCCAGAAGCAAGTGTTTTACTAATCTGACTAACAGTGCCTCTGAACATGTACCTTCCTCCCTGGGATCCAAATGGAGGGACTGGCAAGTATACAGGGGCAGTATCTACCCACAGAGGGATCTGTTAGGATCTTAATATCTGGCTACTATCCCCCATACTCAATTCTGTACAAAACAGACTCTGCCTGTCAGCAGCTCTGCCCAAGACAGGGCCAAATACAGATAGGAGTCCTTTCCAGCCCTCTCTGAGTGTTGGTTACATCAACTCCAGGCTCCTTGAGGTTGATGTGGACTCATGCAGGCTCACAGCCACTTGCCAAGACAGCACCTATCCAGTCTTTCAATGCTTGACCCAAAGAAGTCCAAGAGATGGAGCATCTTATCCACAGAAAGGGAGGCATGAGGATGGACAATAGGGAGGACTGCATCAAAAAATGCTTCTGTTTGACTTCACTTTGATCCTCAGTTAAATTAGAGCAGCCCATCTCTGCAGTGCAGCTCCCCCTCAGACCCAGCTCTCACACCAATGATTATAAGGGATACCTGCACCTGGATTCCTCATGAAGCTGATGCTCCCCTCTGCTGGGTATTTCCTTACAACACTGAACAGGGATACCAAAGTTTGCTCACTTATAAGGAGCAGTCTCACCACACTAACAATCACAGAGAAGCTGAGTAAATTATCCCTGGTGAAGTTCTGTGGTCCCATACATAGACTACTTCCAAAAAACCCTGCTATCCCACTTGGACCTAGCTACGGTATCTCTACATTGCACAACCACATCCAGTGTAGACATGGAAATCATTGTTCAGATCCAGCTATCTGAAATGAAAAAGTACAAGCAAACAGTCAAGGTGGGGCTGAGAATCCCTCTAAAACAAACTAATCTCTGTGCTTGCACAATTTATGACATTTGACAGAACTTCACCAGAATGCCATAATATTCACTGTATTCTCCATAGTGCATAAAACAAGTGGCACCTTTAGACAGGCATCCTATCCCCAGTTTTGACCTAAACTTGGTGTTTTATAAACCCACACTGCATTTGACCTGTGCAGTGTTCTGTATGAAGTGTGTGTGGAGCTAGAAGGGGTCCTTTCTGGCGGTCTACATGATCACTGGCTAATGCCCTGAGGTGTGAAGTCTCATTGCAAGTTTAACTTAAGCAAAGCAATTTTCTAGGAAAACAGGCATATGCCTCAGAGGGAACTCAGCAAAAGGCAACCCGCAACTCTACAATGTTATTATGCAAACATCTGCACTCCCCTAACTCCTATCAGAAACACTCAGTGCTAATCTTAACTGCCCAGACCACTGCAATCAACTTGGGACTTCAGCCATGTGTTTGTAACAAAACCTGTCCTTGTCATATGTTCTGTTCTTCATAGATTGGCCTCCTGCAAAGGAGATGGTCTGTGCAGTGGGAGAGTGCATTTTCCCTGTGCTGAAAACTACAAAGAGAGCTTGGCTTGTCTCCACAGCGAGAGTTTTGGGCAGCTCTCAAGATACAGCATCTGTGCACTGCTAAGAACAGCACTGATAGGATCTCAGTAGAGCTCAGTCAGTCCCCAGCTGCTGGAAGGAAGGTTTCAGCAGGGCAAAACCCATGGAGAGA